TTAAAGTCTATGGTGATGTGTTTATGTGATGTGGTCTCTTGTGAATGTATGAAATCGAGTAATGACAGTGATTCTGGTGTTTGTGACTTCAGGATGGAGTTTGACGACTTCAAGAGGAACTATGACAAGGTGGAGATCTGCAACATGACCCCAGACTCTCTGACCGATGACACGAAGCGCCACTGGGAGGTCAGTTTGTTCGAGGGAAACTGGATTCGTGGCTCCACCGCTGGAGGCTGCAGGAACTTCATCGGTGAGACCGCCTGATCTGAAAATAAAACATTATTCTCAGACTCCACACATTATCAGGCACACTCAGAAATTCACATGTAGAATTAATTAATTTATTTGTTTGTATTCTTATTTATTATTTAGACCTAAATGTTTAAAATGCAAACATGTTTGTGGTGGAGCTTCTTCTTCTCTCTTAAGTGCTGTATCTTTAATCCGCAGACACATTCTGGACCAACCCACAGTTCAAGCTGCAGCTGGAAGACGCCGATGACGACGACGATGTGTGCAGTGTGGTCATCGCTTTGATGCAGAAGAACAGAAGAAAGCTGAGAAAAGAAGGCCAGGACATGGAGACCATCGGCTTTGCAGTGTATGAGGTCAGAAAGAAACATGTTTGAGCCTCAGACTGCTCCTCGTGTATTTTTCCTGTAGTTTTATTTCAACAAGGTTTGTGATCTAAAGCCGTTTCCTGGCACTGATGTCATGAGAACAGGATTTCTAAAACTTTGGGATATGAAAACATTGGCCTCAACTACTCATGCTCCCTTTAACGATACCGAGATGGACTAATTATAATGCATGATATCAAAGTTGGTATAACTGACATACTGAATATATTGTCCTGCGGGAACACTTAGGGAAACAGTGAGGGCATAACATTAGATGGCTACCTACATTAACATATACATTCCTGGCAAAAAGAAGGGCAGATTGTGTGGAAGTTAGTGTCACACTATATATTTAAGCATATTGCTGCAGACTAGTGAAGAAGCACAGATTTAAAAAAAGAAAGAAATTATGTTAATATGCAGTCAATAAAGACATATTTTTAACTGACTGTGTGATTAAGATTAATCATGACATACAATATGGTATCATCAGCATAAAACTGGACATTGCACCTTGAAAACACAGCGCACGGCCTCATATGGACCTCGGTGGAACATCTTTGTCGCAACTTTATTGGAAGCAACTTGCAGAATCATCAAGAAATGGAACTATATTGACAATAAGTATTTAACTGGTTGCTAACTATGTCTATGTTTCAACTATATTAACAACAATTTCATATTAATAAGGTTTTGTGATCACTTCAAACGATGGTTATATAAATCAACTTTATACTGTGGGATTGTGGGCATCTGCAGGACAGATAGATCTGCAAAAAGTGCAGTCCTGAATTGCTGCAGTTCACTGAATATATCAAGAAATGAATAAATGTATGTGTAGCATTTATTTTGAAGATACTAGACATGGCCGACTAAAAATAATAAAATCACTAAAGATTTTAGCTTTCAGCCATCACAAAGTTTACAATCTAATCTCAAGGCTCATTTAGTATTTGTATCATATCAGTTGCTCTTCATTAGCAGGTGGGAGAATGAAAAGTAAACTTGAACAAGGAGTTTATAACATGGACAAATCTGGACATCTATGCATCCATGACTCTGCGAGCTCCATCTGTTAATGACGTTCATTTGATAGGATCAGAAGCACCAGGGTGGAGACCACCTGGACCTGTTTTAAATCAATCATCTGGGTTCTTTTTAAATAATTTGAAACCTCATTTTGTCAGCTTTGCGTCTCTGCCACACTTCCCTACCTTCATATTTTGTTGTTTATCGTGTGTACTCTGTATTCTGTAGGATGCTACTGAATTCATTCCATTTACAATCGATTGTCTGTCTCTTGGTTATTCAGGCTCCAGAGGATGAGGACCAAGCAGGGAAGGATTTCTTCCGCTACCACGCGTCTAAGGCTCGCAGCAGGACCTACATCAACCTGCGGGAGGTGGCAGAGCGCTTCACGCTGCCTCCTGGGAAGTACCTGCTGGTCCCCACCACCTTCCAGCCCCACCACGAGGCCGACTTCCTCGTCCGCATCTTCTCTGAGAAGAAGGCCACGGCGCTGTGAGTGTTCAGCTCCGGATTCTTGCACGAAACTCAAACAAAAAGTCAATGCAATAAATAACCCCAGAAGCGCTTCAAGACCATATTTCTGACTTGATTTAGAGAATTAAATCAACAGTAGTCATTTCACAGTTCATATTTCATTTCTTCTGCTAAATCCTTCAGAAATGTTTCTGTAATTTAAATATACAATCAAGTCATTATGTCATAATTGGGTTTCAGGGACAGTTTAACCCTCTGAACTGCAAAACCCCCACAATGTGTTTAAAAGACATGTTACTTTTGAATATACCGCAGAATCACACCATTTATCAGAGCCAGAAACTTTGAAAACAGAAAGGATCATTTGAGTTTCACTGTTTTGATGGTTCCTGAGCAGGTAAAGCATCTTAAACTCAACACAAATAATTGTGACATTTCATCAAAGTCACTTTTTTCTACATGTCTCAATTAAAAAATTGACAAAACCAAACTGTTTACCTGATTCTGTGAGGTTAGGTGGCCCATGTTGGTGTAAATGTAATCACAGTGATAAGAACAAAATTCTTCAGGTAGTACGGACTAACTGTTAGAAACTAAACATTTAAAAATGATAAATATCATATTGGCTTGTTTTGAAAACCTCTGGCTTTGTTCCTCAGAGAGATGGGCAGCAACGTTGACGCTGACCTGCCAGATGTAAGTAGCTCAAACGGACAGTGATAATCAGCCATCTGCTCAGCCAGGTCTGCTCTTACTGACGCTGTGTTGTTTGTACCAGCCGCCCACGCCCAGCCCTCCAGAGGAGGAGACAGACGAGGAGAAAGGCCTGAGGAGACTGTTTGATCAGCTGGCTGGTGATGTAAGGAAACAGCTTCATGTATAATGCCGTTGACATTTTTAGCCTCCTAGCTATTGTTTTGGCATTAAGGTGTACACCAGACTGTCTTAGTGATCAGGCAGCCTGTTGTCATCAAGTCATCACTGATAAACTGACTGGACACAACCAGCTCAACACCCAACAGCAGCAGTTAGAAACTACAGGGTGAACAGAGAAGAACATCTAGCAGCTAAAAAGTCAGACATACTAGTGTTTCCTGGTAGTTGATGGAGACCAAACAAGAACCAAAGGGAGACCTATTATGGGACTTTTTCTGCCCAAACAGTGTTGCCAGCAGATTGTTGGATGTATAGCAAGTTATTATATCAGTGGTGCTCACCCTTTAGTTTGTTGAAGAGACATCATGCCTCCTTGTTTCCATAGAAATAGTTTAGGAAGCGG